TGGCGGTGGGTCTCTGTCTATGGTGGAAACACAAACCCTGTGGGTCACGGTCCCTCTCCTTTCTCGTGCCTGGGATGTTTGACCTTCTCCAGACCACACCGGACTCAGGGCAGTGGCCAAATGTGTTGGCAGGACAAGCTGGGTATCAAAATCCCTGTGCGACCAGAAGCATGAGATGGACATCCCATCCTGCAGAGAGCCATGGGTGGGAAAGCTCTTGGGTTGTCCCCAGGCAAATCAGTGACACCGTTGGGGAGGGAGTGCCACTGGGAACTGGGGGTCCTCATGATTTTGCTGTCAGAGACTGTGCTGAGCCATTTCCAACCCTTCCTTGGGGTGATGGTTCCTTGCCCAGCCTCTTGGTACCTCCCCTTACTGCCCGTCAGGACCACAGCACTGGCATGGGAGGTGTTACTGGGATGCCTTGAGTCTCCTGCAGCTGTAATCACAGTTTCACAGCTCTTCCTCAGGCTTTTTGAACTCCTTTGTGTCTGGGCTTTGACTTTTTTCTCCTTTTTGCAGTAGGGCCCAGAAAGACCTGGAGAAAAGCCATTTTGGGTGTTGTATTCAGTCCAGCCCTTCGATAAGGGCAGGGAATGGCTCTGCTCCAGAAAGACTGTGCTGGTGGCATTGGGCAGGTTTACCCCAGGCATTGGGCACTTTGAGACGCTTGAGGTCCAAAGAAAGGGCCACGTGCAGCAGCTCCAGCATTGCCATCAAGTGACCCACCACCTGGTCGCTGATGCTACCATTTCTATCGGCGTAGCAAGTGGCAGGGGGACTGAAAGGAGCTGAGATGATGGAGGTGGTTCATGCAATGAACCCTGGAGGTCAGCAGGGCTGTTTGTATCCAAACCTCATTATCAGGTCAAAAAGAAATTCCCAAACCCCTTGGTATTGGGAAACTTCCAGAGAGATGTTCATTAAGAAAAGATGCTTGCCAGCGTTTCCATTGCTATGGGGTTCCTTGAGAGCATTTACTTTCAAACTGTTCCTCCAGACAGATCTGTCATGAGGTTTTTAGGCTGCTTTGTTGAAGGGAATACAATGAGGCTGAGCTGGCTGGCTAGAGGAGTGACGGGCAGGTTTTAAAAGCCTGATGTGGACAAAACTGAGATCCCATCCATCAGGGAGCTAGCAGCGCCTGGCCAGGCTCTGTCCTCCACTGCTCTTGCCCGCCTGGCTTTGCTCAAGGCCAGGGAAAGGCTCCCTGTCGGGTTGTCCCTTCCGTTCCCTTTGTTTTCCTGCAAAATGCAATCTGGGCTTGACTGGTGCATTGTTTTAAACTTGGGAATTTGGGAAAAAAAAAAGCAGCTAAAATGTTCTTTTCTGGATTAAGGGTGTGATGGAGAAGGAAAAGTCTGTGCTGGCGAGTCTCTGAGCTCCAGCTTGGTTTTGGAGACCTGAGAGTTTTGGAGACATTGGAACAGCTCTCAAGAGTGGGACTTTTTTATGGTTAGTTGTTCCGGGGGTGCTGATAACGAAGATGTAGATGCAGACCTGCAGTGCACGAGATGTGCCAAGCACAGACCAAGGGGCAGAGGTGGCCACAGAGAGCATCTTGCCTCTGCAAGTGAGTGGTGACATGGCTGGGAGGGCTCCATGGGATTCAGAAAACAGAGCAGATAAAATGGAGGAAAACCATCTGTATTTTTCTTTACTGCTTCCCTCCTTCCTCCTACCAATGCCTGAATATTTTTGAGATGCAGGACAGACCATTTTGCGATGAAGTGCACTTCATGGGGCCCTTCCTGGGTTTTAAATTGTGGATATTTCATGTTGTGCTTAGGTGCTTTCCTCTCTTCTAGCCATAAAGCGGCCACGGTGCCATTTCCATCTGGCTAACATCAAGGGTGAATTGCCTTGTGTGTCCCTCCCTGCCTGTGCCAGCCAGGACCCCCTCATTGGGAGCCGTGGCTTCCCAGCAGTTCCCGTGCCAGGGTCTGAACCAGAGCTGGGGGACATGAATGTGTGTCTGTGCCCACGTCTGTCTGTCCCCGAGCATGGAGGGGCTCCTGGGAGGGGCTTTTGCTGGAATCACCAATACGGAGCATCCTGTGGAGGATCCTGGTCCCAGCCTCCGCCTTCCCCGTTCTGTCTGGTTTTGCAACCTGGTGTTCATACTTAGCAGTTTTTGGGTATTCCCCCCCAAAAACAGGGAAAACAGCCCAAAGCCTGTATCCTAACACTAACCCTGTGTGCCTCTCTGTTTCATGGCTTGTCTGACATGTGAGCCCCAGCTCCAAGGGTCTTGCTTTCCTCACCAGCACCTTTGGGAGCCCTCAGAGGGGCCATGGCCCCTCGGAGGGGACGGAGGCAGCCGCATCTGCTGCCTGCCCTGCCGGAGCAGGGGGCGGCGGGTGTCAGCAGCTGTGTTTGCAATCTGCTGGTGGAGCAGAGCCGGGGCGGCTGCCACGTGGACGGCCTCCCCGTTCTGCCGGCTGGACCCAGCTGTGCCAGATGGCTCCTGTCCGGCGAACGGATATGTCTGAGGGATGGAGGGTCCCCAGGACCCCTGGCCCTGCCCCGGGGGGTGGGAGCAACCCCAGAGCAGAGGAGGTGCTTCCTGCATGGTGGCTCTTCTCCAGCTGCACCCCAGGGGTGGCCAGGAGGTGGGTGGACAACCCTGGAAGAGAGAAGGCTGTGCTCC